ATAAGTTATGGGGTTATTTCAGGGCATTATTACTTTTATAAAAAATGATAGAGATCTTTATAAAAGAACAATCAATGAAAACAATTACTATAAAAACTAGAGTCATCTTGAGTTGGCTTGCCATGTCCTGGCTCCCTCTCACATGTGTCCTGTGTAGATAGGCTTTACCCACAAAGGTTCTTCCCTCCCAATTTATCAGGGATGGGTGTCCATGTCGCTGTCCATCATCTTGGGACACCTCATGGTATTCTGAGCCCACTGCCCCCTGGTAGTAGACATTTAAGGAAACTTGTGTAAACTTCCTTGCCAGAAGCCTTGGCTCTGGCCACTGCCTGGAAGGTTAAGATCAGAGGCTACGGGAGAGCCCAGCCATGTCAATCTGGACCAAGCATGCCAGTATAGGGAATGAGGCAGGCCAGGCTCTGACTGTGTCACTGGGTACTAACTACTGGCTATGACCTGGAGATGATGTGCCTCCTTCTGGGGCCCCAGGAGATGGCCCCTACAGGAGAGGCTCTGGGACAGCAAGAGAGAGGACAATTCAGTTGTTGTGTGTGAAGCTCCTGTTGACCCTATCCCCCCACACAAGGGACCTTCTCTTGGTGACCTGGTTGAAGGCACTGGTTCCTGATGTTGTGACATACCTTGTTGTGGGGGGACACTGGGCAGAGATCCCCTGACATTTTCCCATGTCAAGACATCCAGTAAAGACTGTGATTTGGCACTCCTGATTTTGCTTAAAATCTTGCTATAAGCCCTAGGGGGAAAGTGTACCTCCTCTCTAAGCCTTAGTTTCCCATATATAAAATGGAACAGTAGTTGTAGTTCCTGCATGGGAAGATTGTGAATACCATGCATATCAATAGACAGTACACCTTGATTTTACAAGAATCTGGGGTGGTACTTTTCTTCATACATACATTGAAAGTGATTATATAAAGTGGCTAAATGTGATTGTATTCAGGAAACACAGTGGTGTGTTGGGGGATCTAGAAGACAATCTTAACCTAACATAATGCATTAATATTCTACTAGCTCTGAAAAAATGCATAAAATGACATAGCTAAATAGAACTCAAGTAGGATCTATAAATGCCAGCATGAAGTGGATAATGGGATAATGTGCTGGTGAGGGGATTTACAGTGTTCAGGGGGAGCAAATAGGGACCTGAGTTTGACGTAGGCTGGTAACAGAAAGACAAGCCCCAAATTAAACAATTGTGAATGAATTCCTCTTCCTACAGACAGAATACATATACCAGTAGAAGCAGGTACAGAGGAAGCAGCAAAATGCCACAAATCAGAATATGTGCGGGAAGCCATGACAGACAAATATTTTCAGGAAATATGGGTAAGAGGCACGTGGCAAAAGAACAACTTTGAAAGCTCCAATGTCATGCTCGAGGCTGAAGTAGAACCATATTTCACTGTACTGTACCTATACAAGAAAGAAAACGGGCGTGGTTTTAAGTGGGCTGACTGTCTGCACAAAAGGGGGGTCCATAAATGTCCTGAGTGGCTGGGCTGGCTGCACAAAGGTCTTTCTGCTAAGATCTATCCCCTGGCTGCTTCCTTCTCTGGAATTCCTGGTCCTGACTCAATCTTAGGGGGCAATCTGTGGCCATGCTGCCACTATGCACTGAGTCTGGATCTTGGATCTGCCACAGCTGGAGGACAGAAGCCCATTTTCTTGATTCCAATGCTTGCCCTACCTAGTTGGCCTCCTGGCGGACCCTCCTCCCCACTCCCACCAGAATTCTCTGGACCTGGGGTCCATCCTCTAATATGAGCCAGCAACTGGCATAGAGTGGGGTTACCTGCCAAGAGTTCCCAGCAGAGGGCAGAACCTGCCCCTCAGCCTTTATGGAGTGTTTGTAAAACTCAACTGTTTCATTTATTGTCATGTTCAGTTGGCCCACCCTGGCTATAAACTTTCTTGAAGCAAATACTGTAACTTTGAACTCTTTGCTTAAAAGCACACGTGCACGCTGTCGTACACACACACACACACACACACACACACACAGCAAAACAGCTTTACTGAAATTCAAATCACATACCATATGGTTCTCCCATTTCAAGGGCACAATTGAGTGGTTTTTATTGTACAGTTAGCCTTCTACATCCATGGGTTCAGAATCTGTGGATTCAACCAACCAAGGATTAAACGTATCTGAAAAAAATTGCATCTGCACTGAACATGTACAGACTTTATTTTTCTTGTCATGATTCCCTAAACAGTATAGCATAAAAATATTTATATAATATTACATTTTATTAGGTATTTTAAGCAATCTAGAGGTGATTTGAAATCTACAGGAGCATATGCATAGGTTATATGCAAATTCTATGCCATTTCAAATATGGGATTTGAGCATATGCCAATTTTGGTATCCATGGAGAGTTCTGGAACCAATCCCTTAAGCATACTGAGGGATGGTATAACTGTATTCACAAGGTTGAACAAATGTTATTGCTATCTGGACCCAGAATATTTTCATATCATTAACCATCTCTCCCTCTCTTTCCATTCCCCCCCATTTTCAGGCAATCACCAATCTATTTTATGGATTTGCCTTAATGAGATTTTTGTCTCTATAGATTTCCTCATTTTGAACACTTAATATATATGGAATCACATAACATATGACCTTTCATCTTTTGCTTAACTTAGTGTAATATTTTTAAGGTTCATGCCACTCCACTCATTTTTCATTACTATGTAATATTCCTTTATGTCAATTGACTACTTTTATTTACTCATCACTTGTTGATGGACTTTTGGGTTGTTTCCACCTTTTGGCTACTGCGAATAGAGCTTCTATCCCCAAAGCTGCTTGTGCTGGCCTGTGGGGACAGGAGATAATAATTACTCCTGGTAAAGGTGGAGATTAACCAATATTCACTAAAATTGACAGAGCATCTTCAACAAACTGTCCTTCTGTGAGTCTATTAGATTTTAGAATTACAAAAATACAGTTATCCTTTGATACTTTCAGGGTTTTAAAATCCACAGATGCTCAAGTCTCTTCTTTAAAGTGGCATAGTATTTGCCTATAACTTATGCACATCCTCCTGTATACTTTAAATCATCACTACATTATGTATTGTGCTTAAAACAATGCTGACTATAGTTCTGCCTCATGTAGGTAGGAGAGTCATACTAGGTGTCTCACCTCATGTCTTATTCTAAAGCTTCCTACCTGTAGATGAGGCTCAAACACCAAGAATTCTAGAGTGATACCAGGGAAGTAGGCAGAGCAAGAAGCTCCAGGAACCCCTGCTTCCTCTAGAAAAGAGTTGAACTAAAACAAACATTTTTTTTTTTTTTTTGGTACTGGGGATTGAACCCAGGGGTGCTTTACCACTGAGCTTCATCTCCATCCCCCCCCCCTCTTTTTTTATCTGGGGACAAGGTCTCCCTAAATTGCTCAGGCTGACCTCAAACTTGTGATCCTCCCACCTCAGCCTCTCTACTTCCTGGGATTACAGGAGTGAAACACCACACCCAGCTAAAATGAACTATCTTAAGGTACAGTCAGCCCTCCATATTCACAGGTTCCTTCTCAGATTTAACCAACCAAGAATCATATATTTTCAGGAAAAAAATGTGTCTATACTAAATATGTACAGACTTTTTGTTGTTGTTGTTCTCATTCCCTAAACAACACAGCATAACAACTACATAGCATTAATATTGAACACTCCTGGGGATTGTTCCAGGTGGCTGTGGTGCTGGATCCAGTCTGAGTGCAACCAATGACCACTTTGTGACATTGCCCTTTGTTTTAGTCAGTTTTTTAGGGGCTCATGGTTTCAGAGGTCTTAGTCCACAGACTGCTGACTTAAGTCTATGGGGGGCCTTACAGGGAGGTATTCCTTAAGCTGAGCTGAGTAAGAGGAGGAACAAGGATGCAGGATCAGTGATTATATTAAAGTGAGGTTCCTGGGGTGGCTTAGATGAGATCAACAGGATCATCTAGAAAATGGGCTAAGCATGGTGTTTGCTTTTGGTGGGGAAGGTCAGGGTCAGGGTAAGCTTCTCCCACCTTCTCAAGCATGTCCCTTGTATTAATGGACACATGCACCTGCCGAAACAGTGTTGTTTTTCTTGACACATGATACTAGGGTGGAGCTGAGGCTCAGAATCTTGGGGTCTAATACTGGTTACCAGAAACAGACACTCTGGAAAAACAAGGCAGCCCAGGCTGGCATGGCTAGTCCTACCACAGGAGAGGAAATGGCATGGAAGGGGTGTCTGTGTAGAATCAGAGTTATTAGGAAGCTAATGGGCCCTGGCTCCAACCCTGCCTGCAGAGGGTCCTGACCATGTAACTCAGGCCTGGGTACTGGGTGAAGACCAGGTATAATCCAGAGCAATTCAGGGACCAGGGCAGGCCCTGGAGAAGTCTTGAACACATAGTTACCAGCCTAGATCCTGGGACCTAGGCTGGTCAATAAGGACACATCAAGATATCAGTGAGTGTGACTGGGACCCAGCAAGCCACTACCAACAAGTGTAAGAAGAGAAGGGGAAAGTGCCTAAACCACCCTAGAGATCAGGGCCTTATAGGCAGGTGTTCCTCAAGTTGAGCTGAGGAGTAATCAGGTTGCAGGGAGAGGGATCAGTGCTCTAGAGTAGCATGCTAACAGCATGAAGCTCTGAGGAGTGACTGGCAGAATGACAAGCGTATGCAAAAAACTTATGGTGGGTGTGGACAGGGGTCTCCAGGAGTCAGGGTGATCACCTTGAAAGGAAAATGGAGGAGACTCTGGTGGCCCAAGCTGCTCGGCGGGCGGGGCCTGCCTTTGGACGCGCACCATTCCAGAGCGCGCGGGGCGGGGCCTCTGGAGGAGAGGACCCGGCTCGGAACTGGGGGGGGCGGGGGGCGGGGGGCGGGCGGGCGGAGGCAAGACCTCCGAAGTGAGGGCGTGGCTCCAGGGCGGAGCCTCCTTGTCTGGGTGTACTTAAGCTGTTCGGGATCGTAGAGACTGCCCGCCATGGCTTTGAGGCGTGTGTTTTCCCTTCGATCCTGCTCTCCCCGCACACCTCATCTCGCCCCGCTGTCCACTTCGCCCGCTACCCGCGAGCAGCCCGCCGCGGGTCCCAGGGCTGTACCGGGATCGGGATGCAGGCCGGTTGAGGCCGCGAGGCCGCCAGTTCCCGTGGTGGACTTCAGCAACGCGCAAGAGGCATACCGCAGCCTGCGTACTTGGGAGCTAGCGCGCAATCTTCTGGTGCTACGGCTGTGTGCCTCACCCACGCTGCTGGAGCGCCATCAGCAGGTGTGCGAGTGGGCGGATGGGTGGGCTTGCAGGTGGCTAGGGGCGGTGCTGGGGGCTTTTGCTGTCCCGGGAGCCGTTATGGAGTTAAGCTGGGGCCACTGAAATATCGCCTGAAGCGATGATTTGAAGCCAGGAAGGGAGGCGTTTCCTGCATTCCTTTTTGGACCTTGTGAATTTCCCTACTCATCATTTAAAATTAAAAACAAAGACCAATGAATGTTTAAGATATGTACCACTTGCAGGAATACAAAGTTATCACCTTGGAATTTAAAATCAAGTATCTTTCATTTTGCTCAAAGGGAATTCTGGCAGAGTTCCACAAGCTGTGACCAGTCACTTCCCAGACACCGTCATTCTGAACAACGCTGAAGAAAATAGAAAATCACCTAAACACCCAAATTTAAACTTTAAGAAGTGTGGGAGTCTTGGAGAATTAACCAGTTTAGAGGTATTAGAGATGACAGTTATTTCAAGGTGACCCTGGGAACAATTTGTAGGGGTCTGGTTGCTGGACCCCGGAGTCTGGAAGGCTGTGTAGGTAGTGGTGGCTTTTTCGGGTGAGACTTTGAGTGGCATCGTGTTGCCCTCAACTCCACTGGGAGGCAGGAGGAGTAAAAGAAACACTAAGTCACACTTACAGCTTAGCCCAGGCCATAGCAGGTGGGATGTGAGGGCAACACCCTTGAAGTTAGAGTCAGGTGCTCATCAGAGGTTTTGGCTTGGATCCTTGGGGGAGCTTCACAGTCACACTTGGAGCCAAGGTGGCAGGAATGGGAGTGTGGTAGAGAAAGAAGGGGTGGAACTTGGAACTGGTCTCATCTAGGAGACCCAGTATGTTTGTGGCAGATGGTAATGTCCTGAAGTAAAGCCCACCTGGGGAGGAGGGTGAGAATGGACATTGGAGGTAAAGGATTTGGTAGAGCAGGTGGGGAGGACCAGCATTATAAGGGGCAACTGGAAAGGAGCAGGAAGTGCTGTTGGCACTGTAATCAGGAGGAGGCAGCCTTCTGGGGCAGGAATGACGGGAGAGAGTGGTCAACCACAGGGACTCTGTGACAGGGCAAAGGCTATATCCAGGTCTCTCAGTGGTATCACAAGTGACTGGTTGTGGGATAGGGTCAAACAGTACAGAAGCCATGCCTGCCTGTGGACTAAAAGGGAGTGAGAGAGGGATAGAAACTGTCTTCCCAGAGATGCGCCATGCTCCTCTTTACCTATCAAGCAGTGGTCAGGCACCCCTTTGTGCCCTGGGGTGGACTCTGAGCTGGCCCCCTCAAAGGTGGGGTCCAGAAAGGAACAATGTGCTCATAGTCATAGGGAGACCAGAGTAGATGGAAGACTAAAGGGGTACTTTAGTACCCACTGTTCTGCTCTAAATGAAGATTGACTTATGGTTGCTGTAAGTGAATAAGCAAGCTGCTCTTAATGATCTTCCTTATAAAATTGATAGTGGCCTAGGTGACCTAGTGAGACCATGTCTCAAAATAAAAATAAAAAAAAGGGCTGAGGATGTAGCTCAGTGGTAAAATGCTTACCTAGCATGCTCAAGGTCCTGGTTTCAATATCTAGTACTAAAACAACAATGACAGCAAAACCCCCAAAACCCACCCTAAACAACCTGATGCTGTTAGGCCCACTTTGGCCCTAAGTGGTTGAAGTTTATAGGGAGGTATAAAGAAGATTTCTCTGCTGAGAAGGGATAGGCTGGATAGCCCAGTCAGCTTCTTCCCTTTGCCTTCCAGCTGCTTCAGATAGCCAGAAAACTTCTTGGGCAGAAGCTGTTTGACAAGCTAATGAAGATGACCTTCTATGGGCAGTTTGTGGCTGGCGAGGACCGGGAGTCCATTCAGCCCCTGATCCGGCACAACAAGACCTTTGGTGTTGGCTCCATCCTGGACTACGGAGTGGAGGAAGATCTGAGCTCCGAGGAGGCAGAGTGCAAGGAGATGGCGTAAGGCTTACCTATCTAGAGTTACACAGGCATCTGGTAGTAACCCCAAGGAACACTGGGTTTTTGGGGAGCCATGTTCAGCTGCTGAACTTCAGCCTTGTCTAGGTAGAGGCCAATGCTAGATGAGCCATCAGCTTGATTACAAGTGGCCCTCTTGGGTTCTGCCAGTAGTTCTTGTGTTTTTACTTTCTGCAGATGACAACTCTGGGCTTCCATGGAAAGGCTGGTGTAAGTAAAGCCCACCTGGGGAGGAGGGTGAGAATGGACACCAGTATGCCTGAACCCAGAGGTGGTTAAGGACTGGGGACTGAACACTATGGATCCTGAGCCCAGTCTAGCCCAACACTTGGTCTTATATAGTTTGCAAGTTATGAATGGCTTTTGCATTTTTAAGTGGTTGAAAAAAAATCAAAACAAGAATCATGTTTTGTGACATGTAAAGTTTTATGAAATTAACATTGCTTTTGCCCTACAGGGGCAGAGTTGTGTAAATGTGTGGCCTCCAATACTGAGAATATGTGCTGCCTGGTTGTTCACACAAACATTTGTCCGACACCCCCTCCCCCGCTCGCAGGAGGCTGCTCTGGTTTCCTGCTCTGCTACAGTCTCTCTTCCCAGGAATTCTGATTGGCTGGTGGGTCCACCATTCCACCCTTGCCTGGCCTCAGCTGGTCTTGAAATAGTTTCCTAATCTGCAGGTGACTCTGCCTAGAGGGTGTGGAGTCTCCCAGGGTTGGCCTCTGCCCAGGCATCCATGGTGAAGGGAATCACAGCCAGGAACACTGTGGTTAGGCAGGCCTGGAGTCCCCTCCTGTTGTCACTAAACTTGTTGCAAGGCCCATGCCCTGGGCAGGGAGTGTAGGGGGCATATCTCACTGACCTGCCCACTTGGGCAGTAGGATGGAATGTCAGGATGATGTTGCCCTCTACTTCTTGAGGTAATAGCAGACACACCAGAGGCTAACTTTTTTTTTTTTTTTTGTCTCCCAAAGTGCTGGTGCCTGTGACTCTCCAGGACAGGCTTGGATTCTGGGCCTGACCCATGTAAGGCTCAGGACATGCCCTCTGTGGAGCAAATCAGGCCTCACATTTGTTTTGTCCCGCCCCAGGTAGCTGCAGGGAAGTAGGGTGGGAAAGGCAGTCACATGAGTCCTCTTTCCCTGGGAACAGAATGTATCTGCCTTGTCTCAGCATGCTGGCCTCTGGCTCATTGGCCTGGGGAGCCCAGCCCCTTGCCTTGCAGCTGGCTGTTTTGAAGGCAGGGTGCTCTAGTCCATCATCCCCTGCGAGCCTCCCTTCCCCCTGGGGACTTGGCTGCACCTTTACTGAAGCTGCCTGTTGAATAACTAATGGGCTCTGTGGCCTTGGTCCCAGACAGGGTGATTTCACAATCGCAGTTTCTCAGGCGCCTTTGATATGAAAAGAATCCTTTCCTAGAGTTGCCCCTCTGGCTTCCTCCATGCTTGGCAGTAGTTGGAGCATTTGGAGGTGGGCTGGCCCATGCCTTGCCTGGGGACTGTCCACCCCACTTGTAAATCCACTTCCCTCACTCTGCAAAGGCTGTGCCTCTGTTAGGTTGCCTGCTGTTGATGGCTACTTGTCTGCTTGGGCTCTGAGACCTAAGTGGTAGTCCCTTCTTGACCTTACAGTGTTGATACAAAAGCTCAGTCCTTGTCCCTGATGTTGACCCAGTACTGGGACAAGGTTTTGAGAAAAAGGTTTTATTGCTTTTTTAGCAAAGTAGAGTACACAGGGGATTTTTGCCTCAGACACTGGAATTCTAACTGCCCGGGGGATAGTAGGCTTTTAAAAAGGGATACAGAGGCTAAATTCCTCAAGTGCCGTATCAGGAGTCATAATGTATTTGTAGCCTTGAGAGTTAACCAATTCTCAGACCCATTGGTGCCAGCCCAGAAGTCTGAATTTCTTGATTGCTTTGGCCAATGAGCTGAAGAACAGATAATTTGTCAACTTGTGACAGGAAGAAGGTCAGTCTTGCTTTCCTCATGGTTAGGAATGGGGAAAGGAAGAAGAAGAAGGAAAAAAACCCATGTCAGTTTTAAAATAAGCCACCAGTAGTCAAGCAGAGAGGTTTACATTTTAAGCATAAAGGTTTATATTTAAAGCCTAAAGTGGAGCCATTATAGGGTGACCACCATCTAATGCCAATGGTAGATAACAAAGATATACACCCAATTCTGCTGCTTGTTGCTCTGCCTTCAGAAGAACCCAGGCTGTAGGGAAGGACTAGATTTTCAGGCACCACTCCATATCATCACATGGCCTACAGGACTCAGTGGGTAGTCCTGGTCAGGAGTGACTAGCAGTACGGATCTGCTTCAGTGTCCTTGTGATAACAGGTGGTGGTGGAGGAATATCAACCTTCCTTGTCTTGTAACAAGGCCCATAGATTGTACTCTGGGAGAGAAGCAGAGGCCACTACCATGAATTAAGACTGTGGTAAGGAGGGGACAGTAGTGGTGGTTCTGGGCCTGCCCCTGGACTAACCATGAGAAGAATTGAGTCAAGGTCCAGCAGTTGTGTATGCTAGTTAAAACACATGCTATATAAATTGTGGGCTGTGCAGTTTCAGAACCAGATCTTCCTGTTGGGGGTCACCCAGGTCCAGAGGCCCAAGGTCAGCTGTCCCTTGCCATGAGACTTTCTACTCTAGGCAGTACTCAGGCTGCCTCCTCTGCCTTAGCATATAAGGCATGGGAGTGTGTGGCTTTTGTCTTGTTCCTGGGCCTTGATTTAAAGGTCTAGGGGTTTGACCCTGCCAGTTCATGCCAGAAGCCTTACAAGGAGGCCAGGAAGCTTCCTGTCACAGACAGGAGGTCTTTGTGGGACCTGACTACTCCCTTGTTACAGAGTTAGAACATTGTCACACAGTCACAATTTACCCTCTTCTTTTCTGTTACATCTTGTCAGCCGGAGGCGCAAGAGCAGTAGCTGCTTGCCTACCTCCTGATCCTGGATTGTGGCTTCATGGACTGTGGTGTCATGAGGAGTCCCATTCCTCTAAGGGCTTGGGTCCACCACGATTTTTGGGTTTTGACCTGGATATTCTGGCTCAAAGTCCACGGATAAAGGTCCTGGGTTAGGAGCCAGGGCCAATGGGGAGGGCTCGTCATGTGGCTTAGTGGCCCAGGCCTTGCTCTGTGATCAGTAAGGTCAAAAGCCACTAATGGTGAGGCCCTTTGATACAAGAGGCCTTCTGAAGGTGCAATTACCAAAGGTGCAGTTAACTGTCATCTGTCCTTGCTTTCCTGGTTTGACCTTTCCATGGCTTTACTTTTGCTTCAAGAGATGGTGGGGGTATGGGTTGGGCCATAGGCCCTGGAGACCCTGGATGGTGCTGGCTATGAGGTTGAGTTCTCTCTTCATTAATTAATGAATAAGTAATGAATAATTAATATATAACAGCTTTAAATACAAAATCTGAGATGTAAAAAGCCCAGTGTTTTAGGATTAAGGTTAAGGTGAGCATCCCCATTATTTATAACAGCCCAAACTCTTGCTATCCCAATGGCATAGCATTGGAACTGAGCACTAGAAACTGGTTGCCACATTAGGGGGGAGAATGGTTAATGCGGGGGGGGGGGAGGACATCAGAAGGGGGTACAGTGGAGAAGGGAAGGACAAGTGGCAATAGGGTAGGGAAGTTACAGTGAGGCTAGTTGAAAGACTGTGGGGAGGACTGTAGGCCTGACTGAGCCTTAGTAGAAGGGCAAATGAGCTGGGCCAAGGGCAGCCAGTGTCTTGACCTCAATGTCCTGTCTTATTGAAGACTTTGGGTGTTCTGGGGTACTTTGTGAATCTGGGAGGCTTTTTAAACAAGGGGATAGTGAGATTTGATTTGCATTTTAAAAGAAAATTCCTGGTTGCTGCTTGGAAAATAAGTCTAAGGGGCAAGAATAAAGCAGGGAGGCTGGCCCTGCAGGTTGTGGTTGTGCCTGCAATGGGGGAAGGATCCCAGAGCTCTGCCCAGGTGTCCTCAGAGGAACTCAGAGGCTATGGACATGGAGGTAGAAGCCAGAGCAAGGGGATTTCACTGTTGGAGTTGGGCTTCCTGCCTCCATTCCTCTGTGCCCTCTGTGGCTCTGTGTTCCCATTTTTCCTGGGAAGAAGCATCACCTCCTTGCTAGCTTTTTTTCAAGACAAAGCTGCATGTCCTGGGCTGTTCTGAGAATCTCAGTGGATAGTTTTCTTACTCTTCCTCAGTAGGGAGGAGCTCTATCCACATGGTTTCATGTGGGCTTCAAGGGCTCCAGAGGTCACTGTCCCTCCTTGGCCCAGTGGTCACACCCAAGTTGAGCTGTGCTTTGGAGCCAGCCCTCAGTCAAGATCATGATCAGGATCAGGCCCACAGCTCAGCCCCAGCCTCCTCTCCCTCTTCTGCTTCCGGTTACCTGCAGGCCTAGGTATTATGACCCTGACCTTTGCCTCTTTCTCTTTTCTGCAGGTCCTATGCCTCTTCAACAGAAAGGAATGGCAGCAGTGAGTAAGAGGCCACTGTTTATGAACAAATGCTCTCCCCCACCCCATGCACCCTGGTGGCCCAGGAGACATATGGGTTCATGGCCTGAGTAAACGCTGGGGTAAAGATTAAGTCCTGAGGCTCCTCCCTGTACCGGGGCTCCTGGCCTGGCTCTGTGTATCCTCACACATTGGCAAGTGACAGGCCCTGAGTATTTCTCATAGCCCTTTCGTATGGACTTAGTCTTCTTGGCTTTTAGTGTGTGACAATCCAGGTCTTTGTGATAGAGGCTTGGCCTTCCTGACCTGGTTTGTCCCATGATGAGGCTTGCCAGGTGGAAATGTATTATAGCTAAAAGAACAGCAAGGGAAGGGGTATATGACCAGCTGAGAGAAAAAGGCAGCTTTGAGAAGTAGAGAGCTGCAGGGCCCATAGCACAGGAGTGCTGATTGAGTCCATCTGAGGGTGCCAAGGACAAAGTCATTGGATTGTTCATGCTGGGTATAGGGGGTTTGAGCTATACCTTCTAGTAGAGCTGGTGGCTGTTTTTAGGCCATGTGTCCACTTTTCTAGGCATGAGTAAGAGTGAGAAGCAATATCAGGCCCATCTAACCTTTGGAGACCAAAGGGACAGCGTCATCAGTGGTGCCCATACTTACTTCTGTGCCAGTGAAACCAAGTATGATAGCCGCATGGAGACCCTGTTGCACTGCATAGAGGCCTCAGGTAGGGTGATTTGGCTACATACTTGCCTGATCCCAGCTTGGGAAGATCCTTGGGCAAGTGGAGATGAGATACTGGTTGGTGAAGAAGGCTGGGTCTGCAGTGAGAGGGCTTGGCTGTCACACTCAGTTTGTGCTGCATCTAGCCCTTTCCTGAGACAGTGCTTCTTTTTCTACCTCATGTTCCTGCCCTTTCTTTGGGAAGTGCCTGAATGTGGAGCACTGGGAGATGGTCCATGATGGTGGACTGAATTACCCCCTGCCCTGGGTCAGTGTTTGGTTCGGCTAACGATGCCATATCCTCTGTGACAGGGAATCCCTCCCTGGTACAGCCTACTGGGGGCTGGGAATGGGGGTGGTGAGTTAAGCCATGAGGTCACTGAGCCCCAATGTCCTTAATTCACACGAGATCCCAGCATAGTCCCCATGCCATCCCTAGCAGTCTTGTGTATAATGGCAGCAGGTCTTATGCCTTCTGAACCTTTTAAGTTCAGGAGTGAGTGATGCTTCAAAGTTTCTGCTTAATGGGCTGGGGGGATCCCTAGTGGTCAGGTCAATGCTCAGTCATTTGGGTGAGGGACATCTTCTTGCCTCCTGCCTCTTTCCTCTGGGGGCAAAATGAGGTAGGGGGAGGGCAAACAGAAGCAAAGATGACCTGAGTGCCCCACCCTCTTCTCTACTTGGTATGTCTGTGTCCTGTGACCCATACATGGATATCCTGTGGTGCTGATAGCATTAGGGAAGGAAACTGAGGCAGGGAGAAGCAGGGACACCTTTGGGGCTTCATAGCAGTGTGTAGGTCTTGCTGCTTCCTTTGGCCACCATCTTTCTGCATCATGTGGCAAACAAAAATATTACCAAGTCACCCCTTCCCACCTCTGTGGTAGAGTCTCTGGAGCAGCCAAGTGCAAATGTGTTTAGGGGACTGGATAGCAACATGATTAGGGAACTGGCTGCAGAGTCAGCAGGGCACAGATTCCTGGTGCTCCTTCTCCCATCTATGTATCTGTTTCTTCATAGTTCTTCCTTTGGCTTCTGACAGGTAAAGCCAGTGATGATGGCTTCATAGCAATTAAGCTCACTTCCCTGGGTAGACCCCAGTTTCTGGTAAGTGCTAGAACCTTCTATCTCCAGAGAATTTGTAAGACATTTGGGCTGCTGTGGGCATTAAATGATAGCATATGTGTCCATATTCTTGAGTATATAAGGATTAATACAGGATACAAGTCCTGTCTTTGGGGTATCAGAGCTTTAAATGGTCTGGGAGAGCTGGGTGTGTGCTATGGATAGTGACTCAGGCTTGTGTTTGCAGCTGCATTTCTCAGATGTACTGACCAAGTGGAGACATTTTTTTCACCAAATGGCTGCAGAGCAAGGGCAGGCTGGGCACGCTGCCATGGACACAAAACTGGAGGTGGTAGCACTACAGGTGGAGTGTGAGGGGATGGTCACCATGGGGTCTTGGGGAAGAACCTCATCCAGTGGTAAGTGGCTGTGGTCCAAGGTGGATCCCTGGAGCAATTCTGAGAGATAGCCCATTCTACTGCTACTGTCAGCTGGGGAGGATGGAAGAAAAAGAGGACCTGCCATGGGCTCTATTTCTGAACAAATACAGGAAGTACTGGCAGAGGGTTGGGGAGGTAGCAAGAGTGTGGAGGAGCTGAGGGATGAGAACAGGCATCAGTAGACAGATGTGAATAGACTCATCTGTGGCATAGTAACAAGTCCAAAATGGATTCCATTCTGCTAATGATGTAATAAAGTCAAAAGAGGGGGACATTAGTGGATAGGGCTCGGAGACATCAGTGCTGACTCCTCCTTCTTACTTCTAAAGGAAAGCATTGCTAAGATGGGCATTGCATCCAGGGCTGAGATTGAGAACTGGTTTACACCAGAGACCCTGGGAGCATCTGGGTAAGAGCAGCATCCCTGACTGAGAATAAGGGGGACTACTCAACTACCCTGGGGTAGCTTTGGTTCCAGCTGAGTTTTAGCAGCTTCTCCAAATCCTGGTTGCTCCTTTAAGAGGTTATAGTGCTGAAGGGACCACTTCTCTAAGATGTACTAAGTAGGAGTGATGGGAACCTGGGAAATCTCTGGGGATAGGGCTGGGCAGCATGGACACAGGGCTTCTTCTGGAATTATCTGAGTCCCAGAAAAAGGGTATTGGCCCTTCCTGAGACTTGCACTGGTAGGCAATGAATCAGAGTCCCATATCCCATCCTCAGGGCCAAAGACTGAGACAGAAGTCACCAGGGGATCCCATTCATATGTAGTGCTCAGCCATCCCTATCCATTGTAGCTTACCTAGTCCCTCTAAAGCTGCATCTGCCTCCTACCTGGTCTCCTACCTTTGGCTTTTCCCTGAACCTAATCTGTTAGGGCATCAGCTATAAAAATGCCGATGCCCTAATTCAGGAATGTTCACATTTTGGTTTTAATTTTTTAAATAGAGAACAATATTTATATTTTAACTTCAAGACTGAAAACAGAAGTGAGTTTTATGGTAGCTGGGTTTGGGAGTGCTCTTTTGGGGAATGGGTTGGCTTTGGCTTGATACATCCAACAATCTGAGCACCCATGGGTAAAGCTGTGTGGCTGGATCAAGAAATATCTTTTGGCCTCCTTTGTTGATGTGTGTTTTCCCACAGCACCATGGACCTGCTGGAGTGGAAAAGCCTCATTCGCTGCAGGACTCAGCTTTCCAAGCACCTGCTGATCCCCAATGTGCAGGTAATGTTTCCCTCTCACTGGGTCCTGGCTGAGAAGAGAATTAAGCTCATCACATATCTCCTGTTTTCCACCCTGGGGACACAGTGTGACTGAGACTACCATTTTCTCTGGCCCCACAGGGGAGAGAACAAACCCACTAGTGTCCTCAGAGTGTTGAACAGAGACCAACATGGAGCCTTGAGGAGCCACAAGCAGAGGATATCTGGGTGTTGGGGGGGCACTTCTTCAAGTCATCTAACTTTGTTTGTTAGGTCACCCAAACCTCTTTGGCCAGAAATGGCAACAATCATTTTATTCTCTCTCATAATTCTAGGTTTATATGGCTCAGCTGGGTGGTTCTTGTTTGAGGTCTTCCATACATTTGTATTCAGAGGGTCATGGATCTAGTCATTGTGGAGGTACCCCACCTACATGTCCAAAGGCTGATGCTGGCTGTTGATTGGGTTTCCTCCCAAAATGGTGACTGGGTTCCAAGGGCAAGTGTTTTCTAAGATGAGGGCCAGGTAGAAGCCATGTTGCCTTTTCCAGCCTAGTTTCAGAAGTCATATGGTGTCACTTCCTATCAAGTTTAGTTTGTTAAAAGCAAATCATTAGGCTAGCTTACATTCACAGGGAGAGGAATGAGACTGTTTGAAGCCCCTCCTATGCTGGGATTTGAAGGTGGAACATTTTCTTGGGAATATGTTCTGCAGACATTCCTTCCATGCTGTGCAGCCCTGGCCAGTTGAGGGCCCAGCCCCCAAACTTTGAGTCACTGACCTAGAGCCTAGAGGTGTGGCATGTTCAGTGCGATTCTACTTCAAGAGTCACTGACACCTGGAGACTTAATCATACATATGGCCAGGGATAAAGTGTTTGTGTTGAGTGAGGCGAAGCTGCTGGGGGCCTACAGAGGGACATGCTTGTCAGCACTACCAAGAACTTCTCTGCCACATTAGAAGGAGAGTGGCAGGCCCTGGTGCTACATTGTCCCCCCAGGTTGGGTCTTGCCACTTCCAATTTCCAGCCCACTGCTTACCTGCCTGACTTCTTGAAGGCCACCATCTTGGTACCCCTGCTGCAAGTCAGTCTGTTCCCCATAGCTATCCTGTCTGCCTGTAATCATGGGTTTTTCCTTTGGAGTCCTCCCTGTTCCTGACTGAGCCTTTCCAATTGATTGGCTGGTCAAGGTTCACATCCTTTGCCTTGAGTGGGAGCAGAAAGGGTTCTCCCCACAGCTATGGGACCCCCCTGAGGGTCCTGGGGAAGCCATAGAAGCAAACACTTTGGGCCTAGCTAGGGCCTGGAGCTAGCTGGCACGGGCACTAAACTCCCTTCTGGTACAACCAGGCTCCAGGTATAGGACAAAGAGCTGGCTAGCTGTGAGATTCCAGGGCATCATATCACTGTGTCTGGTTGGCCTAGGGCAAGGTGCTGACCTTCACATGCAAAGGTAGTTGGGGGAAGGCAAGATAAAGAAGGCTGTCTGATTCTAGGGCCAGGCACCAAGGTTTTGGCTGGCTCAGGTGGTCCTTCTGGCCTTGTATGAGAGGGTAAGGTGGTACTGGTGGGCTGAGTGTAGCACTGCTGACACAGGTGTGATCTGGGTCTCTAAGTGTAGCCTCCCTGGCTCTACAGTGTAGTTTGACCATATGCTGTACTCTCAGACAGGACAGCTGGAACCCCTGATGTCACAGTTCGCTGAGAAGGAGGAGCTGCAGATGATGAGGATACTGCAGAGAATGGATGTCCTGGCCACGGTGGGGCGGTGTGAGCCAGCCCCACGTGGGGTGGGGGCTGATGCTTCAAGGACCCTGGGACTTGTGCTGAGGAAGGGCATCTGTCTCACTTGAGCCATGAAGTCTCTCCTGCCCTTTGCACCTCTTAGAAAGCCATGGAAGCAGGGGTACGGCTGATGGTGGATGCTGAGCAGACCTATTTCCAGCCAGCAATCAGCCACCTGACACTGGAAATACAACGCAAATTCAATGTGGAGAAGCCTCTCATCTTCAACACCTACCAATGCTACCTCAAGGTATGGGCCCCTGCCTCCCCACTTCCCTGTCTACCTCTAGGCCTTGACTATAAATCCTCTGGTGTGCAGCATGACCAACTACCCTGCAAGAGGTATGCTTTTCTGAGCTCTGTGGCATCTGCCTGGCCCTACTCTGAGCAGAGGCTGGGTGCAGAGGAAAGAGAGGAGAGAGCAGGCTATGTTCCCAAGGGGAGGTCCCTCTGTAGCAGTTATCCTGGTCTGGGCCCTACTGTCCAAGAAAGAAAACCCTGCCCAGTGGCTATGTCCAGCCCTGCAGAGATAGTGAGATTGGGGTGATTGCTTCAGAGTAGTAGTAAGCAAGACCTCTGAGACCTGTCGCCAGTCCCTGTTCTGGGCTTTGGGACTCAGACAAGAGTGTTGGCAGGGATGAGAATGGGGAAGGCAGAAGAGCTTTTTAAGAATCCATCTGATGTACTTTAAACCCCCTTTATGGATGATCATTTCTTTTTGTCTGCTTTTAGCACAGGCCTCTTTAAGAATTTGATAAAAGGTCTGGGATCCTCTGTAGAAAAAGACTTGTGCAGAATTTCGCATGTCTTGAGGAAGCCCAGAGGTACTTTAGGATAGGACCCCAAACTGAACCTTAAGCCTGAGGGTGCTAAGTTGCTGGGGGCCTGTATAGATCCAGAGCTTATAAGGATGAGCCAAGTATCCAGACATAGGATGGTGTGGAGGTCCAGTCAGGTGGCCCCAGCATGCACCCTGATCCCAGCTGAGGAAACTCTGGATACCTGGCACCTGGGCTGACCCCCCACAGGGCTGTCCCAGGCCAGAGGAGGATGCATGAAGGTGGCCTTGTTGTCACCCCTTCTTGGGGACAGATCTGAGGCCCATTCTTACCTACAATTGTCTGCCAGACTCCCAGAGTGGCACCTCCCTCAGGCGGCTTCTGCCTAGTCCTAGGTGTCCCAAATTGACATACCTTGGAGCACCTGGGCCCTAGTAAGTCCCTGTTCTGGCCATCAGCTGGGGTCCCTGTGACTTGGCCTTGGTCCCACAGGATGCCTATGACAATGTGACCCTGGATGTAGAGCTGGCTCGCCGTGAGGACTGGTGTTTTGGGGCCAAGCTGGTACGTGGTGCATACATGGTCCAGGAGCGTGCCCGTGCTGTGGATCTTGGCTATGAGGACCCTATCAACTCTACATATGAGGCCACTAATGCTATGTATCACAAGTGAGTCAGCCCTTCTGTCTTGTTTCCTGGGAGGCGTGGGGAGTGAGGACCGTAGGAGACCATGCTGCTAACCCCATTCAGGTCTCCTTCAGGGCATAAGTGATATTTCTTCTGTTTGTCATTTATTAAAAAACATGAAGGCGTTTCTTTTTCTTTCTTTCTTTCTTTTTTTTTTTTTTGGTACTGGGGATTGAAACCAGGGGCACTTTAAGACTGAGCTACATTTTAAAATATTTTATTTTGAGATAGGGGCTTGCTCAGTCTGAGGCTGGCCATAGCATCTGGCAGAGAAAAGGGAAAAGTTCAGAGATTTTATTTCTATCTAGTTTTAAACCTGGGTTGTGTTGCATGGGGTGAATGTGATACGACTACACTAGGGAAACACCTCTTTTTAAAAAGAGGTGTCTACTGAACAAAACAAAAACTGGCCTTGATATCCACAGCTATCTTCTGTTGATACTTAGTGGAGAAATATGCAATGAGCCCAGGGTGCCCAGCCCTCCCCATGATGGTGTCCCTACTCTTTGCTTTTTAGTTCACATGGTGGGATTGTTAATGGTTGTGCACCTGCTATCTTTGCCGTTTATCTTGGAGATCTTTTTGTGTAGCACAGGCAGTCCAACTGCATGATTTTTCTCTGAGGCTTTATGTTCTTGTTGCAAATTCTAAGGGACCCTGAGTGTCTCTGCAGCTCCTTTCCTGGCAGCACAAGCCAATTGTGCACATCTGTGCTGTGTATGTGCCATGCCCATCAATGTTTACACAGTACACTCTGTCCTTTGCTCTTGTTTTTTTTTTTTTTTTCATTTAATGGTACATCTGGATCCTCCTGTGTCAACAGAGCAGTTCTATTAACAGTGGCACGTGTTTAATACAGGTGCACAAAGTTATGTGTCCAGGGTCTATGATCTTTTCTGGTTATTGTAATAGGATTCACTGAACATCTCGTCCTCCTCATGTTGTATGCATCTGTTGTTATAGGTTTTGTGTCTTAGGCACAGTGTCACAAATTCCTGGGTCAGAGAGAATGTACTCCAACCCTGATGGTTATCCTCACTGCATGATGACCATACTGTTGAGAGTCTTGCTGATGAACAGGGATACTTACCCCACACAAGGCCCCCAGGCATCACTTCCTTTTATTTCCTCAAAGGGCTAGGAAGCAAACTGTAGGATCCCTTCCCAGAAGCAAAGCTGCAGGTTCAGGCAAGCTCCCTCCCAGCCCCTGTGTAGTGACAGTAATGTTTGATGTGAGGAAGTCGCACCTCAGCTAGTTCTTTGTGAACTCTTGAGTCCAAGCTGTTGCTCAGTTTTTCTTGGCTGTTGATCCTTCCCCTTTATGAGGTGCTGAGGAATGGAGGGCCAGGACCTGTTTTTGTTCCTCCTGATGCTGTGGGTAGGTACCCTTGGGAGGAGCTGCTTACTGGATAGCTCTGGGCCTGCAAGGTTAGCAGTGAGGGGTACAGGCCTGGGACCAGGCTCACATGGCACTCTCCCCAGGTGCCTCAACTATGTTCTGGAGGAGCTGAAGCACAATTCTAAGGCTGAGGTAATGGTAGCCTCCCACAATGAAGACACCATTCGTTTTACCCTGAGCAGGTAAGTGCTACTTGTACTGGGCTGTTGGGTTCTCCAAGGCTGGGGAAAATTGTCAGCACTCCAGTGGTCAAGGAGCTCACAGTAACCCATTAGGTGCTATAGGATAATATCCATGGAACAAGCTGGTATGGAGTATTTAAGCCCTCTGGACCTAGCTGGTATTCTTGATGCTGCTCTGCCATTACTTTAGATTTTAACATTAATCTTGACTTTAATTAAAGTTTCAAGTTCAAAAAATAAATTGTTTTAGGTGATTTAAATGCTTCAATGAAATATCTAAGGGTGATGTTAAATCTCAGTGCCCTTCAGGAGAGCTCTCTGATGTGCTGCCTCATCTGTAAACAGTTTCCATTAACATTTTAAATTGCATTTAGAACTTAATACAGTCTGTTTTCTCTTTAAATGCTTGTCCCATGGAGCACAACTTTGGGAGAAATCTAACAAGTCAAATACAGAAATAAGGTGAAGTAAATTCCTAAGTATTCCAGAATTTTCACCATGGTTCCATCTCTCACACCTAGACCCCAAAGTGCCCTAAGGTATAGGTGTATGTATGGGTATTCTGGAGTACAGGTACAGATGTGCCAAATCAGGACACCTGATACAGGAAGCTAGTGATGAAAACATGAGAATCATCAATGTGTAGGTATTTTAAAACCCAGAAAGTTCTGTATGATCCTATTAGGGATGGTATGACAGGAGAGGGGGCCAGATAGTTGGGGGTTCCCCACCCTAACATCGGAGCTTTGATGATAAAAATATAATGTGAGCCACAGATGTAATTTTAAATTTTCTATTAACTATGTTAAAAGAAAAAGATGAAATTATTTTCCATATTATGTTTTAGGACTGAGGATGCACTTGCCTAGAATGTCTGGGGACTTGGGTTCTATCCCCAACAACACACACACAAAAATTTTCATTCTTTTTTTGTACTAAATCTCCCACACTCCATATTTGACATTTGGCAGCACATCTGAATTCATACCAGCTACCTTCTAAAGACTTGGGCTGCTGGTGGCTGTATATGGGATAGAACAGTTGTGGAGATGGGATGGAGGAGCAGCCAGCAAGGGGAGGACAATGGTTGGAGGGGACAGAAGACCAGTCACCAAGCAAAATCCCCTTGGGCTCTAAGACAGCCCAGGAGCTTCCCGGGGTCAGGTGCAAGCTCTTGGGGTGGGGTGATCAGGGGGTCAGGATGTAGAGGTGTGGGGGAGGTAATGGGGAAAAAGAAGGGTTGAGGAAAGGGGAACAGTGCTGGCCATGTACCAACGCCTACCCAGGGAAAGCCTCCCTCTAGGAGTAGGAGGGAAGCCTAGCCTAGTCTTGCTGGCAAGACATAGTTGGGGGGCAGGGCAGAACTCAAATGCTCAGCCCCACCCTGCATGGGATAGATCCTGGAGGGAAGGGGTTGGAGTCTGGGTGTGGCAGAAGGGCCTCAGAGATAAGACTGGGCCCCTCTACCCTTCTCCTAGGGCAATAGCTTAGGGTTGACTCCTCACCAGCCTGGTCTCATGTGTTCATAGGATGGAGGAACTGGGGCTGCATCCAGCTGACTACCAGGTGTGCTTTGGACAGCTTCTGGGCATGTGTGACCAAATCAGCTTCCCCTTGGGTGAGCTGGGCATTCCTGGGTGGGGTGGGGTTTGGGGGACACCCTGGTGGGGATGCAGAAAGTGGAAGTCACACCTGTGTCCCTGCTGTGTGTATAGGTCAGGCAGGCTTCTCTGTATACAAGTATGTACCCTATGGCCCTGTGATGGAGGTGCTGCCCTACCTGTCCCGTCGAGCACTGGAGAACAGCAGCATTATGAAGGGCACCCAGCGGGAACGGCAGCTGTTGTGGCAGGAGTTGTGGCGGCGGCTCTGCACTGGCAGCCTTCTCTACCGCCCAGCCTAACTGCTGTGCCACCACCATAGTTACTCTACCACCTGCTGCCATGTTATTCTGTGACCTCCCAGAGCCCTGGGAAAAGGAATTTAGGGGTGTAAGTCTGGGTTGCTCCCAGGCTATCACCACCAGATTTGCCTTTTTATACCCAAGAATTTGAAACCTGTTGGAGGTGGGAGGGCTGCCTTAGGTGGTTCCTGCCCCACCCAGGATGCAGATATTCAGGCCTAGGCTGAGTCTGATGCCTGCCTGAGCCAAGGTATTGTCTAATGAGAGGGCCTGGGCCCCTACCTCTTAGTTTAATGGGACTGTCTGCTGCCAGGGTCCAACCCATGAGCCTCATGGGTGGGTAGTGGTCCAGCTGGAAAGCCTGCCTGGTCAATAAACTACTATTCTACATCTGAAAACCCTCAATTCTACCATGGTGCCCTCACATGAAATTAGCTTGCTCTGGGCAGCATAGAGGGAATGGCTTGGATGGAGAAGTCTCACTTTCAAGTTCTAGAGATCATTTCTACCACGGATGGGATAAGATATACTTCCCAGATGGCTTCAGTGCAGACCTAGCCACCCATGACTTCAAAGTCCAGACTTGCAGTCTACACAAAGGCAAACAGATAATGGGACTGGGCATCCTAAAAAGAGGGGAGCCCCAGGAAAGGTCTCAGCCACACTGTGGTGGCTGCATCAGATGGGTACTGCTCTCTGCTATCTCCAACACTGCCACAGAGCTATCAGGAAAGGACTGTACGTGGGTTGTGGCAGAAATGAGACACAAACCAAGTGCACGTGCCTTTATTTTTTTGGGTCACAGGATTTGTGCATTGGAATTCTTTTTATTTGGGGGCTTCAGCTGCCAAAGGAGAGGCCAAGACCAAAACAAACTCAAAACCTGGGGCCTGGCAGAGGTTGGGATGTGCCCATGGAATGGGGAAGGTATAGAACCAACAACCCTGCTCTCCACCCAGCACTGGGGGAGACAGCGGGTAGGCTAGGCCTCCCTCCTTTTCATGACACCATCCTAGTGCTTGCACAAAAAACCCAGGCAAAGGTGGGTGACAGGTGCAGCCAGATGAACCTGGCTTGATCTTAGAATGGTGATGCTTGCTGGCAAATGGGCATCAAATTTGGAAAGTGGCCAAATACCAGGAAGATAAGTTCCTTGCATCTTTCTGGTGATGGTAGTCAGGGCTGTATTCCCAGCAATGTTGGTAGTGGTGGCCAGCAGGGATCCCCACCTGATCACAGGGCTGTCTTCCCTGTCTGGCAGCCCCTTTGTTGCAGCTTCCGGATAAGTTCCAACAGGTTCATCTGTAGTGTCAGCTCCTGGAATACAGAGGGGTCCTCCATGAGGGCCAGATGACACCTGGTGCTCTTCCACCCTGGCCTAGAGGCAGATACCAGGGCCTACAGGCTCACCTCCTGTGGGCCATGGGACTGGCCTCCAGGTTCTTTCTGGAGTCCCACTTCCTTGCTATCCCCACCTACCACTGAACCTGAGCCTAACTCATCAGGGACCAGGAGTACAATCCTAAATGTATTTGGCCTTCAGGGACCAATGATAAGGGCTGCAGCAGGGCCAAGCACTGACCTGAGGGTTGGTAGTCACATAGAAGCCAGCTACCCCTGCCTTCTCGAGTGTGCTCTGCTGGTCAGCCACTTTCCGGTCCAGCTCCAGGACAATCTTCCGGTCCATTGCATGTTGTTCCTCCCGGATCCGATGCTCTACTGCCTGCCGCAAACAGAGTGAGGGTGGCTCCAGGCTCAACCACCATACCCTTCAAAGCCTCAAACACATGATTTTGCCTGCCACTTCCTCTTGAGTACCTTGCCCATCCCCAGTGACACTGGCTCCAGGACCACAGGTATCCTCACCACACCCAGTCTTCACCCTTCTCAGCCTCACCAGACTCGGCAGCAGAGAGGTTCTAAGAGGCTTCCCCAAAAGCCCCAGCAGCCTTGGACCTAGTGTACATCTCTGTAGCCACCACCCATACTCTCCCATGGCTTGTTGATTATGTATGTGTCTCCAATTGACTCTGAGCTCCCTGGGAGAAGGATGGACCCCTTTCTGGCTATCCCTGTCACTCCACCATTGTATTTGCATGCATGAGGCCTCAATGTTCCCCATTCAGCGCCTGCTCTGTGTGCACCCCAGCCCACAAGAAGCTACTGTTTTAGAGAGTAAGAGAATCACAGCTGGGCTTTCACTCCCTACCCAGCCCTGGCCCATGGCAAAAATCCGTGTGTAGCCACTCACCAGGCCTCTGGTGGTCCAGGCCTCTGGTGGTCAAGACTCAGAATAGCTGCAGCTCCTGAGCCACCCTGAGCTCTATTAGCAGAACCAGGTAGTCCCTGCAAGGAAGAGCCAGGCCTGGCCATCCCACCCCTGTCCCCTACCTCTAGCTCCCGATGCTGAGCTGCCTGGAGCACAGGTAGGTTGTGGGGCCGGCAGGCTTGCTGGGCTTCTAAGTGCTTCTGCCGTAGGGCCTGCCTGAGAACTGGGAATGGAGTCGAGTCATTAGGAATAGCAGGTTTTGGGGAGAGGGGAATAGACCCAAAACAGGTAAGAATGGAGCCCAGAGCATACCTCAATTCTTCGTGTCTGCCCCTTCAGCCAGGCCTAAGGCTGGGAAGCACCACCTCATGATCCCACCCTGCCTTAAGCTCTATGTGAAAGAAAGCTATGTGGAGTCTCAGTTCTCCCAGGTCTGCCCTCACCCAGGGCAGGGTGCCCAGAGCACCTTTCTGCACATCCAGGGGACTCCAGAAAGTACAGGGAACTGAAGGAGGATGGAAAAGGGAATATTGGTATAGGGTTGAGGTCAGAGCTACAGCCTAAGCTTGGAAGACCAAGGGTGGTTGGAGGAGGTGGGTGGGTGACTGAGGTCTGAACGCTTATAGGCTCAGATGATAGAGTTTTAGTTGTGCCCTGCCATCATCTATGGGAGACCAAAAGAGATAAAGGACTGGGAAAGGAAGGGAAGAAGATTGCTGACTGCCAGCTGTGTGGCTGTGCTGTTCCTTCCTTAGTAATGCCCTTCAGGGTAACAGAACTACCCCTCCCCATTGGCATCTCCCAGGTATTGCACAGCAGCCAAAGAAGGGAGAAGGGTGGGTATAGACCTGGGAGGCCCCCATTTGGGTTAAGCCTGAGGTATCAGGAGCCAGCAGAAGTTCTGTGCTGAGGAGTTTATGTTGTTCCAAAAGGATTTCACCTTCCACCACTGAGCAAGGCTCCATGGTCCCTGCTAAATCATGCCACACACATAGATGGGTGCAAACTGTCCACTCTGATGGGCTGATCAGAGGACAGGAGCACCAGATGAATATACAGCCAATGCCCTACACCTTACTGGTCTAAGTATCAAACAGTCATGCCTCCCCAGCAGGGAGGGGTTGCTGGCAGGACAAGAAAATGCAAAACCCCACACTCTCTAGGAAGAGCTCTCATGTGACAGCTTTTCTCATGACTGTCCCAGAGGTTCCTGGCAGGTAACCTGGCCCCTGCAGTGCATATAGCCATCTCCAATCCCATTTCCTGGCATTCTCTATATACCACAATGGTGATAGTTGTCACAGTAAATGTGTTTGAAATCAGAAGACACCTTCAAAACACCTCCATAAACACAGAGGCAAGAAAGACACTCTCGTTTTCTGGTTATAGTGTACATTAAGTGGAAGCAGGACAAAGAGCACAGATAAATGCAGGGAAATGTCATTTTCTTCACTCCATTTATCAAATGTTGCTGTAAATCCCAGGCAAACTCCCAGATTCCACTGGTAAGCAAAAGAAAACGTTAAGGAGAGAGCCATGCCAACTACCTGCTGAGAAGGGGCCTGGCTTTAGGAATGCCCAAGGAAAACAAAGGCCAATTACCACCTGTTAAAAATTATTTGAAGGAAAGGCAGAAAGTCAGCACAAGCCTGTTCTCTGCTGGCCATACCAAGACCTTGCTCAAGCCTTCTGAAGGACAAGACAAAGGTTCTAGAGAGTTACCAAAAACTGTCACACTTAAAAGCAACCAGGATTCCATGAAGAAATGGCTGATTCCAGGATTGAGGCAAGGAAGTGCTGGAAAAATAATGGGAATACATCAGATGGAGACAGCCTGAAGCTCTCAACATGGCAAACATGGCACAATTTGAGCATTAAAAAGAATAAATTAGGAGCTGCGGCTGTGGCTCAGTAGTAGTGCACTTGTCTGACATGTGTGAGGTACTGGGTTCAGTCCCCAGCACCACATAAAAATAAATAAATAAAATAGAGGTATTGGGTCCATCTACAACTAAAAAAATATTAAAAAAAAGAATGAGCTATGTATTTTGGATCTGTGAGCTATGTGTACCTTGTACGTCAATGAAAATGTTTAAAAATACAGTTGCTCAAGCATTTAAGGAAGAAGTAATACCAACTCTTCACAAACTCTTATGGAAAACTGAAAAGGCCACTTCTCAACAAATTCTAAAAGGCTATCATTACCCCAATGCCCAAACTAACAAAAATATTACAAGGCAACTACAAACCAATATCTGTCATGAACACAGAGGCAAAACTGCTTAACAACATTTTAGCAAGTCAAATCCAAGATAGACAAAAATTATAGTACATCATGACTTATCCCTAGAAGGCAGTTCATCTCAGGAATTTAAAAAAACCAATGTAATTCACTGTAGTAATAGAAAACCCACCTGATCACCTCCATAGATGGAAGAAAAGGACTTAATAAAATCCAACATCCATTTTCAGTAGTCATACATTAATCCTGGGGCACATGGACATTGCCTGCCCTCATGGGTTAGGGACCTTGCAACACTAGGAGGATTTTTTTTTTTGGGTCTGTCACCAACATTTATCCTACATCTAATCAGGCCTCAATCTGCTGTCCAGTTTACAAAAAACAACAGTGTGGAGAAACAGGTTAAATGATAGCATGAAGAAACAATCAAACAGATGCAGTACAGGGACATTTTACAGGTAGAATGCATTGGATTCTTCAAAAAGTCAGCCTCTCTAAATGTTAGGAACTATTCCAGAAGAGATTTAAGTAATCAATTGCAGGATATGAACCTGGACTGGATCCTTAATTATAAAGTGACAATTTGAGACCTGTTAGGTAATGTGACCATGACACCTGGAATGGTTCACTGTGGTTGTGTAGGAGAACATTGTTCTAGAGCACTGTTTCAGTTCTCTCAGGGTCAAGGTTTGACCCTAGGGCTGTCTGCAGACATGTCTGATTGTCATGACTAGGGAAGGGTGCCTCTGTCATCCTGTGATGCACAGGACACTATCTCATCATAAAGATTCACCAGTTTAAATGTCAACAGTGTTGGATTGAAAATCCTGGTATAGTGGAACGCTGAGGACTTCTGGTGAAGTGCTCAGGTGTTACATAAACGAACTATGGCAAAATATTGTTGAATCTAGGTGGAGAGCAAAATGGTATTCATTATACAGTTCTTTCAAATTTTCCAAATGTTTTAACTCTTTTTTAATAACAAAGTTAGGAAAAAATAAAATAGCAAAGGTAAAAATATAATGGTGTATGGAGAGCTCCCTATTATAATTTTCAGCAAGGGGCTCTCAAGCCCTGAGGGGGACACACAGGAGGAAGCAAGCCTGTGGATCAAATGGAAAGCTGTTGGAGTTGCTGAGGGTGCTATAGGGTTCAGAGCTTAGGAATTCTATGAACAGCTGGTGTGGTGCCCTGTAGGGCCTTTGAGGGAACTGACCCTAGAGTGCTGCAGAGATGTCAATGAACGTTTATCCGCTATGGGGTATGGGTGTGGTCAATGGCCTCCAAGCAAAGTCCTTGGGCCTTCTAGTTTAGAAGTGGGCGGAGAAACAGGGTATCCTAAGCAGGGGGTTTCTGGCTTTATGTCAGGCTCAGAAGGAGGTTGTGCAATTAATACTGGCTTGATTCAATGGCCACCAAAAAGACACTACGGAAAGCTCTGCATCCTTGATCTGGTCAACCTGAGGTGTCTCCTGCGAGGGACCCTTAGGAAACCTACAGAGGTCAAGCACTCCCGGGGCTGGCCGACCTGGGAAGGAGTTTGCGTTCTCCCGCCACCCCTCCGCACCTCGGTGTTCGTTCTGTAGTCGTAGACGCTGGTTGTAGAGGCTCTTTTCGGTGAGATGCTGTATCTCCAGTAGCCCCTGCACAATCTCGAACACGGTGCCGTCAAGGAGCGCCAGGGCTAGGTCGCTGAGAGTGGTATAGGACAGGCGCTGCTGAAAGGAGCTGCAGGCAGAGCGGCGCGGTGAGCGCGGGCGGCACCGGGGCCACTTAAGCGGCCCGCCCCGCCCTCCGCTGCGCACCTGGGTAGCTCTTTAACCAGGCTCTGCAGCGCCGACAGCAGTTGGTAGTGCTTTTCTTGCTGTCGGGCCCCGTCCACCGACTCCTCCAAGGAGCTGGCGTAGCGCTCCATGGCGCCGGCGTTCACCAGCTGCTGGCCACAACAACGCTACCAGCTCCCTTCACGTCAGCTTTGAGCGCGGTTCGATCGACCCTTTTTACGTCATTCTTGAGCGCCGCTCGTCTGCCCGCCTGCGCGTCCCTCCCCTTGCGTCAGCCCATACCCGCCTTCTAACATGGGTGTCTTAAATCTCACAGCTTCTGGTCAGTTGACCCTGCCGCCGATCCTGCCTGGATATCGGGGTATTTCAAAGAATTCCTGTCCGGTTTACACAGAGTCTGTGCGCACCAACTCTCCACCCCCTCGCCCGTGGAAGGCGCGAAGACTTGGCTCTTTCTTCACCAGTGGTCCAACAAAGGAAGCCCAGTGCTACTGTCCACAGCCACCTCAGCCTCATGCCATTTCAGGTCAAGCAGTGGGGTGGGCTTGGAGTCTGCGTTCCCTTTCCTGCTAGGGTTTAGACTGTGATAAAGGACATCACTGGAGCTACTTATACCGCCGGTTACCTTGAGGAGTCCTTGCTTCCCCAAATACAGCAGAGATGCACTCAGAGGCAAGTGTAGAGTGGAAAGTAAAAAGCTTTATTAAAGGATAGCAGAAAAGACGTCCCCTGAAAGGTGGAATCCGTAGGCTGGGGAAGTTTCATCCCTTTTATATCTAAGGCGTTCTTTTGTCCTCCTACATTCCTGTTTTTATCTTGCTTATTTCCCTTTGTCTTGCATGTTGGGGGATGTAGATGAGGAGGCCAAAAGATGGAAAACAGCTGGGCCTTGGGGCAGGAGGGTGGGGGGGAGGAGTGATTAGGGCCAGAAGGGCCTAGGGTGAATTGATTAGCACCTTCCAAGTGTCTGCTGGGAGCTGCTTCTTTTTTGCGTTTTTTGGGGGGGGGGGGGGGGGGGGGGGGGGAGCTTGGGAACATTAACATTGCAATCTCCCAGGTGTAGTTTCTGGTTTATTCGACTCAGCTCTGACTCCATATTTTTCTATTAGATTGCATATCAGACCCGATTTACCTAGCTACACTATACCTATCTTTAAATCTGGCTTCACCCTCTGGTTAGAATAGTGGGGAGACTGAGTCCCAGTCTGAAGCTGCCTTGATTTCTCAGTGCTGCCCATCCTGCATCCTGAACCGGGACCAGGAGCCCCCCTAGCTTCCTTGTGTTACAGCCCCACCTCCCACATCCCACAGGCTGTGGGCTTTGAAAGGAAAGTGACCACAACACTCGGAGCAACCAAAAGATCTTTATTGCAGCAGTGCAACAAAGAGAAAGGAAAGAAGGAAAGAAAGAGAGAGAGAGGAAGCGCACAGGAGAGAGACAGAGAAAGCAAGAGAGATAGCAAGAGAGAGGGGGGCCTGGCAGGAGGGAGTTTTTATAGCCCAAATCTAATGGGGCCTCTGGGTCTGCAAGCTGCCTTGTTGGCCCAAGGGGGGTTGAGTGTTCAGACTTGAGGCAAACAGGTGATAAAGGACCAGATAGAGGGGGGTTTGAGTGCGTGGGCTATCTTGCAGCCAACATCTGTTCAGCCTGCCCTGCAGACAACATAGTTCAGCCTGCTCTGCACCCAACAGGCTTGTCCCCAGCTGCTGTGCTGGGCACTGAGGGGCTTCTAGCTGGCTGGTGCTGAAACAACAAAGAACAGCCATCAATGTGGAGGAATTCTGATATGGGCTGCAGAAGGCCAGGGAGAGAGTGAGGCCAGGGATTTGCATTACAGAGACCTCTCGGATTTGTGCTGAGAGCAGTAGTGGCCTCTGAAGGATTTGGAGGCACAGACACAGTCAGATTTGCTGTTCACAAGTCATCTTCCAGCTGCTGTGTTGAGTGTTTGGCATTGTGTGAAGTGGCCCTCTTTCGACTTGGGGGTATTGAGGGAGAAAAGTAGGAGAGTTATTGAGATTTCTAGGATCACACTGAATTCCCTAGATGGTCTCCCAGTTTTCTCTAGGATCCGTTTCCTCAATCTTAGCCATTGTTGGCTATACTCCCTATCACGCTCATGACCTAGTTCGAAATCTGAAATGAATATAATGAATAATGGCAATTGCTGAGGCCATTGCCATGGAATACATAGGGAGGGCTAGAGGCATGACTGGAACTTGTGAGAGCCAAGCCTTCTGCTAGCAGCTGGGCCTGGGCCTTGGGGGAAGGTTTGGGGAAGGCACCAATTGGTTGAAGGCACCTGCCTGAGGATGTTCATTCTAGGTATACTTTCCACCTGTGTCCTCATTTTTATGAAAAAGAGCCTAGTAGGATGTGCATTTATGAAAGGAGTCCATGTGAGACCTGGAATATGTACTGGGCAGCCCCATGTGATAAGGTTTTGGCCTTTGGCCTCTTTACTCTGTCCTGGGTCAGCGTCTGGGGTGGGGTGCTGGGAGCCATTAGCCAAGTAGGTATGACAATTTCCTTGCCAGCG